TGGAAAATACCTAGGGTGACACCTGTCCCAAGGAGAGAACCTGGAAAGGATGTTTCTGCTTTTAGACATATAGCGGTGCTTTTGGTTCTGGCGAAGATATTTGAAAAATATTGAATTTCCACATTAGCAAACAGTTAGATAACATTTTGCATGACAGTCAACATGTGTTTCGAAAAAAATCGCTCAACGAGTACTAACCTGATAGCACACGTGGACTATGTACTATGTGCAGAGATGGATTCTAGAAGACGAGGTAGACGACGCATATTTCGAATTTAGGAAAGCTTTAGTATGACATACTGTTACAGCAGCTAGCTAAGTTGGGGTTTACTCCGAAGCTTCTTCAATTATTTGCTAGCTATTTGGGTAATCGTCGTCAGTTCTTTAGAGTAAGTGGTTATGAATCTGCTAATTATTTTACTAGATCTGGTGTAAGTCAGGGTAGTACTCTTGGCCCTACGCTGTTTTAATTTTTTTAATTTTTATAAATGACTTGCCTACCAAAGTTAAATTTGCGAAGTGCTTGTTATTCGTAGATGATCTAAAATTAAGCTTGAGAATTGGTAGTGCTTCTGATGCACAGGCTCTTCAACAGGACATAGAAAGGAAATCGGAATGGTGTATGGCGAACCACTTTCCTCTTAATGAGACTAAATGTAAGGTTATTACTTTTGCATTAAAACCGAATTCTATCATTATTAATTATAACTTATTTGACGCGCCTATGGTAAGAGTATATGACATAATTGACTAAGGTTTATTATTAGATAAAAATATTTTCACAATCATATGACATCCTTTTGCAAGTCAGCTAGTAACACATCAGGTTTTGTGATGAGGACTGCTGCTGGCTTTGATGATATAAGGTTGGCTAAAACTTTGTATAATGCGTATGTTCGGAGTAAACTAAAGTAGGTATGCAGCTGCGGCCTGGAATCTTTATGAGAATAAGTATACTATCATGTTAGAGAGAATACGACGTAAATTTTTTCGTTGGCTTTATAAGGAGAGTCACGGTTACTACCTTTATTTATATCGTTCCCTGTTCGTTTTGGGTATGGTTGATTTAGAAACCCTAATGTTTAGGAGGTCGATGTCAACTATTAGGTGTTATCTTTTTATAATTCACCACAAGTTGGACTGCTAGTCGGTTGTGGAGAGAATCGGTTTGTTGGTGCTCAGGTACCTGCAGAGAGACAATGGAGGAACGGTGGCTCCGCGCCGTAGGCTGCGTCTCCTAGACAGACCAGTTACACGTACCAAACGTGCTGCCTATGCAACCAACAAATCGAGCATTGATACTAATAGGGGACATAGTCACTCAACACGATGAAACTGACTCTTTTTATAACACTCTTTTTATAAAATTATCGATAATAAGACAATTAATAATTCCACAATTTAATTTGCTTGACTATGTAAAATTAATTATTTGTATTTAAGATATAATTTTAACTATGCCATATTCTAATTAGCTTTTATTGATATTACATTATGAATTGATATGAAAAAATATTTCATAGCCTGATATTGTATGATTGCGACCTTTTCCTTTTTTAAACATTGTACAATTATTAATATTTTATTGTTTATTACTATTATAATTTCTCCACAAAGCTTAGAGATTTTATATCACTAATATTATATAATTATTTAATTTATGATTATTAATTTTAATTTATTAATTTATAAGTGATAACTACTAATTTTTGTTGTTATTATTGGATGCAATTTTTTTTAAATATTTTTGCATGTAAAATTTTACCTTGTGTGCGTATTGGTATTGAAGTGTTGGTGGTTTTCTGTAAGCCACAAGAGTTTTTGAATTAAATAAATAAAACTCGAAAAACTCACAACCCATGGGAAGAAAAGCGCGCGAGGGGCAGCTGTGTCAGCAAGTGTAACCCTCTCTTATAGATTACTTTTGTACGACCTGGTAAAAATTACATATTATACAAGTAATTACAAGTTTTTTTTTTTAATATTATGATGAAATGTTGATGGATAATGTAATAGTATACGTTAAATTATTTGAGTAATCTTTTTTCTGTTATGAATATTTGGAAGGAAAATAAATTCTCATAAAAAAACTTATATGGGGCGCAATTAAGTAGCGTTATGTGTAGAGCGGTATTTCGTAGTCGTAACAACAGAGTAGTCAGTATTGGCTACGACACCGACTACGCCGAACGTAGCTGGATCACGTTATTAGTCGTAGAAATATTAAGAAAAGAGTTGAACGCGATACGAACGCGATACGCAATTAGAAATTTATTAATTATTTGGTTAATTTATTTAAACGTAAGCATAAAGTGAATTAAACATAAGTGTTGTTTTATGATCTATGCGAATTGTTCATGTTATCTCACGAGCTTTTAAAAATATTCTGGCAACAATAATTTGACATTAAGTTAGTTTAGTAACTTCATTGAATTAAATCTTGTTTACTATTTATTCCTGATAAAATGAAGTGCTTAAAACATAAATGAAAAATATATTATAAATATTTTATATATATATATATATATTGTTTTCCTAATAATTGTACATTATAAAAGTGTAATCCTTAAATTAAAAAAAAAAACTAAAAATACTTGCAATTTTATAATGTCATCATTTAGAGTAGGCCAAGAAAAATGTTTTGTTGTGTAGTGGTGGCGTAAGAATATATTATCTCTACCCCATATTATCCCGTAAGAGTTGTAAGAGAAGTCAGAGACTGATGACAACTCAATATAATAAAAAAAACTGCGGTTGTCAACCCTCCTGTCGGTGAGGTAACTATTTCAAAATCTCTCCTATGAGACAATCTATAGGGAATGACTACGGTCAGCAGTGAACTTATAATAGATAGGCTGTAACTTTTTGTAAATAAGTCATTTAGCACGATTAAAATATATTTTAATTAAAATCCGTAAAATAAGTAGTCTCAGTGCATCTATTCTTTTTATAATGTCTGAAAATGTAAGCTTATTAATATTGCAAACAATATCTTTTTACGCCAGTTTGCAAAGAGATGCTTTATTATTTTGATTTTTTATCAAGAGAGATTTATTAGAATCTACACTATATATAAATTTATTTACCACAGTATTTGCTAAAAACTAAGTTCGTTTTTAAACATTAAACTAACCTAACATTACTAACATAGTTATGAAGTAAAATTGTTACTAATATACTTACACTTAATATGGACTTATTATATCTGAAATATAGTTATTATTATTATATTATAAACAAATTCAATATTTTTTGGATAATTGTAACTAAAATAACATATTCCTTTGTATTTCAAAACAATTTTTTTTAAATTTAATTTAAATTAAAAAAAAATATATTCGAAGTTTAAAGGAGTTTGAAACTGTTGTGAGTGTTGTTTTATCATGTTGGGTGAACAACGTGATTTTGAAAAAATTGAACAAGGGTGACAAACGGGCACACAGTCTACCTGATGATAAGTGGATGCTGTTCCCCACTTATACATCTATATCTATTTTCGAATAAGAATCAAAATGCAGAAGCACTGTCACCCCTGAGGACTATAATGGAATGTCTCGCTTCCAGTAAAAATATTCAGCTCTCCACATTCAACATACGAAACAGCATCAGCTTTAAGCTGCAATTATACGCTGGTATTTTTGAGAGCGTTATTTTTCCGGCAAACTGACGTATTTGTGCTAAACTTATGATAAAACTGCAGTAAGACTCTACTCTTATAAATTACTATATTTCGAGTTATATAAAGTCGGTAAACAGCATTGGGGCAGCGGGGAGAATTCTCACCTGTATCATAAACCCCAATTGAAATGAGAGTTGACCCGTGCTTAGCTGTGAGATATATGAGGCAATAGTTTTGTATTGAAAATTGTAAATCAGCCAAATTATGCGTACCTTTAACCAACGAACATGATATTGTATGTATAGATATGTTAAAAGCAAGAGTGGTGTGTCAGGACCGTGCCAAATTAAAGTCCGTAGTTTCTTCTTACGTGATTTACCTTTGGGTGAGAGAAGTGAGATTTAATATTTATGAAAGTATGTATTTGTATTTATATAATTATATAATGTTGGCTCGCAACTCACTTAGTGGTCAGTCACCGCAGAGTCCATTTTTCCTGATGATCTCTCGTTTAGAGGCGAAACATGTGTCGTATTATCAATGGCGGTGTGTCTTCGTTTAAGTAGTGGTGTAGGGATTAGTGGTGATGGGGATAGAGTACGCAAGGAGGGCGAAAGGTGCTCTTTAAATTAATATAATGAAGTGAGACACATAATTTTATTGTATAGCGCGGATCTTAGTTAATTCTGAACAACTTTAATATAACGGATTTCCGTAATTTATATCTGAATTTATTAATTATGTATTTTTATATGTACATAATAAGCATGTGTTATTATTTATCATAGTCACCTTCTAGATTCTCCTCCCCTTCAGTACGTTCGGAAGGAATGTGTGGATACAGGAAGGAAAGTCACTGGCGAACAATAATTAACCGAAAAAAATATATGAGAGTACCAGATTCTTTTTCCGCGCAACCATAGTTTTTTTTTTAATTTTGTAAATGTATATAACTAAACTTCATATTTTTATCGCTCTGTCACCCAAAGGTAGACTGGTAGCGAATACCTCAGGTGTTAAGTCCGTATATCATTCTTATATGTTATTATATAAGACGTGAAATAAATAATAAATGTATGGATTTTAAAATTAACTTTTTTTAAGTTAAAACGTTACAATTTTCCAGTAATTTATTTTCACCTGTACCGTGCTGCACTAAGACAAACATCTAGACGAGGAACAACTATTTGTAAGCCATATAAATACTTGTTCCGTGCGGGAATCGAGCCCCCGCTCTTATCGCCGCAGCTCATGGTTAAGCCACTGTGCCACTGTTCTTGATAAAATTGTATTTATTTAACTAATTTATTTGACACATTAAGTTTTTTATAGACTGTGGCAACGAAAATTTATTTACAAATTTTTTTTTACAAATACAACAATGTATGATAATGTCTCTGTGCAAGTTAACAAAACAGAGAATTGTGAGAAAAGTGAGATCCCTGCAAACAAAACGATCGAAGAGTTACTCACGCGTGACCAGCATGCAGTTATTGTTACCTACTGGGTGCTGATGACTCTGGGGGCGTTCTGCAACCTGGCCGTGCTGTTGAGCTTAACCAGAACTCGCCGCAGAAAGTCCAGAGTGGATTTGCTAATGACTCATCTGGCGATTGCTGATGTCTTGGTTACTTGCGGAGTTATACCACTGGAGGTAAATACGTTCATTCATTATAGTTATAGACTCTTTATAGGGGAGTTGTTAATAGTTACATGCTATTGCCCAAAAGAAATGATAGATCAGAGTATCACAAACTTGATTTAATATATTTGTTACAATTTTCAATATTTAATATTGTATTTTTAAGGACGAGCTAACAGTTTGAGGGTCGAAAAATAAAGGCACAAATTTTATGTCCGTTGGCTGTTACATGAAAACGTAATGGATCGCTATTGTTAGAATAATTCACATTGTTTACGCAACCTGAAATGATCTTTAAGTTTGATATTAATATGGTGAAAGTATCTTTAACAAATATAAATCTAACACTTATTGGCACATATGTCTTATAATATAATTATTATAAATCCAAATTTATATTAATACTAAACTTCAAATGTGTGAACGGCATGAACACCCATCTCTTTAACTTCCTTCTGTTGCCTCTAATAACAGTAATAATAATCTTCTCCAGACCAAATTTTGGTCACGGTGGTCAGCTTGAACAGAAACTAACCTGTAAATCTGCGCCGGACACGATTATAGTGCCCGAGTGTATGCGCAAGTGCAGGTGCACTCTCTATTCCCTCACTCTCGTATAGTCCGATGGGACGGTAGTCCGACGCAAGCGAAGAGAGATCAGGCGCAGGATCAACGGCTTGACGTACTTTCCGAAGCACCGTGTACTTCCTGACTACGGGCCGCTACTGAGAATTTTTTGACAGGAAAACAATATCGCTGATTTTGACCCGACCGTAGATTTGGGATTCGAACCCTAGACCGCAAGATCAGCAACCGCGTTTACAACCGCTAGACCAACGAGGCATTCAATATAGCAAGCAGATATATAGATACAAATATCAAAGTATTATGGAATGTATTCAAAAGTATATTGTCCATCAATCGCCAGAAACCGCCACGACATAAAAGTTACAGTGCGTATTTTTCTGTTAGGACTTGCTTCTGTTTGCCTGGATGGAGTGAGTTTCCTCCGCTGTAGAGAGACTGTGCCTTGTAATAGTGGAGACGAACTGTCCACTATTAACAGACTCCGAGTGGTTTTCTTAAGGTGGAGAAATGAAACTACTGTTTATGTTTATGAATGTACTGTCGAATGGGATTCAGAATGGAATATATTTTGCATCAACCTTGCCTATATTTATATGGCTGGCTCACTATTGATTTGCCAATGGTAACAATTAATATTTTGCCTAGACAATTATATTGATTATTTTATGACCAATGAAAACTATTTAAAATATACAATTATCTACGTTTCGTTTCCCGGCGTGAGACTTGTTTGTTGTTCACGAAGCTACGTCGCTGGACCGGGCTATATAAGACATGCAGATCGGTGCGCACGCGTAGTCGGCGGGCGGCGGCGGTGTGGAATACAGCTCCGGAACAGCAAGAGGAAACGAACTGCGGCGTTGAAGAAACGGCTCACCATTGGTCGACGGATACGTGACGATAGCGGCGTGTGAAGTCGGTGTGGCGCTGAATGATATTTGCGGCTGCTTCTTGTTTCTTTATAAGAACGTCAAATTATCTATATACAGTCCGCAGTATCTCAGTAGCCAAGAATAATTAGGAAATAAAATGTTTTTTTTTATTTATTCTCGCCTTCCGCGTTATGGTAGCAGCGGAGTATATATTATTTATTCCCGTTTCGGTTTGATTAATCTGGCTGCTACATCACTCTCCCCCCAGCGAAAGCGTACCAGAGGCTTGACGACTCGCCCGTATTTCGTAGTTTTTAAAATAGGTTTCAACTGGGTTGATGTAGATGATGAGGTTTCAAGCTTCCTCGCTGGTGGTTTTGATGATGATGATGAATCCTCTGCAGTATCCTCGTTAATAATATAGGCAGGCTTTAGTCGGTCGATCGATATAATCGTAGATTTCCTTCCGGGTATTTGTAGTTTAAAAGTCTTGCTATTTCTCTCTAATACTTTATACGGTCCATCGTAGGTAGGTTGAAATTGTTTTTTCATTGCGTCGTTTCTTACAAAAACTTGTTTGCATGTTTTCAAATCTTGGTGAATGAATACTGATTTATTATTTCTGTGTGATTGCATTTCGGTGCATTTCAACGATAAGGCTTTGTTAATTGATTCTCGAAGTTTAGTTACGAAATCGTAATCCATTTCTTGTTTGTTTGACGCTGCTGAACTGAAGAAGTCACACGGCAGCCTTATGCTGCAGCCGTAGGTTAGCTGAGCGGCGCTAAGACTAGTGTCTGCACGCGGTGTTGCTCGTAGTTCGAGTAGCACTGTAGGTAGCTCATCAATCCACTTTGTATGTTGAGATAAACGAGTTTTGAGTGCAGTCTTTAATGTACGATGCCATCGTTCGATTATTCCGTTTGACTGAGGATGGTATGCTGTTGTACGCGTCTTCTGTATTCCCATAGTTTGATGAAGTTTGAGGAATAGGTTGCTTTCGAAATTCCTTCCTTGATCCGTTGTGATGGTTTTAGGTGATCCGAAACGAGTAATCCAATTTTCATAAATTATCTTCGCGACGGATTCGGCTGAAGTATCATCGGTAGGTATTGCTTCTGGCCATCTTGTTGTTCTGTCGATCATTGTTACGAGATAACGATGTCCTTGCGGTGAAGTAGGTAATGGTCCAACGATGTCAACGTGCAAGTGTTCGAATCTCTCCGTGGGTGGAAATGTAGCTAGACTACTTGATGTATGCCTTTGTACTTTGCATTTTTGGCATTGAATGCATTGCTTCGCCCAGTTGCCAACATCCGCTTGCATTGCAGGCCAAAAGAATTTTTCAGTGATAGTTTTCTTGTTGTTCTAACACTTGGATGACTAATGTTGTGCAGTGCATTGAAGACTTCGCGACGACATTCTTCTGGTATGTATGGTCGCATGGTTGTCGTTGAGGCTTCACAGTATATAGGTAGATGCGTCATTGGCATTGTAACTTGCTTGATGGACAAGTTACCTTGCTTCGCTAGATGTTTTATGTTGTCACTATCTCTGTCTTGTGCTGCGGCGATCTTATGATAGTCGATTGATGTAGGGCACGTTACACTGTCGATTGGTACGCGACTGAGTGCGTCGGCAACTATGTTGTCCTTTCCACTGATGTGACGTATGTCGGTCGTGAATTCACTTATGAAAATAAGTTGTCTTGCTCTTCGTGGTGTTTCCGATAGTGATGGTTTCTTTGGAAGTACATATGTTAATGGTTTGTGGTCGGTAAAAACGATCAGGTTTCGACCCTCGAACGTTTTTCTGAAGTGCTTGATAGCCATGTAAATAGCGAGTAGCTCTCGGTCGAATGTACTGTAGTTACGTTGAGTATCGGAGAACTTCTTCGAAAAATATCCAAGTGGTTGCCATTTCCCATTGCTGTATTGTTGGAGAACTGCTCCTGCTGAGAGATCGGATGCGTCGCTGAAGATAGCAAGGGTTGCTTCATGTGATGGGTGAGCGAGTAAAGCTGCATTTTGGATCGCAATTTTACAAGCTTCAAATGCCTTCGTGGCTTCATCGTTCCATTCGATTGACGTTTTATCTTTTTTCTTCGTGTTGTGAAGGTAGACGTGAAGTGGTGCTTGGATTTCAGCGGCTTTAGGTATGTGTTCTCTGTAAAAATTTATCATCCCAAGAAAACGCCTTAGCTCTTCGATAGTATTAGGTTTTGCATAATCGATGATTGCTCTGACTTTTTCGGCAGGCGGTTTTATTCCTTCCTTGCTGACGGTGAAACCAAGAAATTGAACTTCTTGCTGTCCAAATATGCATTTCGAAGGGTTGATTGTGATTCCGTTGTCTTCTAATCGCTGTAGCACGGTGCGTAAATGGGTTTCGTGCGTTTCTTTATCAGGGCTTGCAACAAGGAGATCATCAATAAATGCGAAAACGAAATCCAGTCCATGAAGTACTTCGTGTATGAATCTTTGGAAAGTTTGACCTCCGTTCTTTAATCCTGGGATCATTCTTGGGAATTCGAATAATCCCATTGGGGTAATTATTGCTGTCTTCTCTATGTCTTCATCGCGGACTCTTATTTGTTGGTAAGCTCGGTTGAGATCGATGGTGGAGAATATAGTCTTGTCTGATAGTTGATGAGTGAAATCCCTGACTCGCGGTATTGGGTAGCGGTCAGGAGTGGTAATAGAATTCAGTCTTCTGTAATCTCCACAAACTCGTAATTCTCCGTTCTTCTTCGGTACAATGTGAAGTGGTGATGACCAAGGGCTTTTGCTTGGACGGCATATTCCTTGCTCAATCATGTTTTCGAATTCCTTTCGAACTTGCTCGTATAGGTGTGGTGCGATTGGACGTGCACGACAATGAAGTGGTGGTCCATTGGTGTCGATGAAATGCTCAACGTCGTTCTTCGGTGTTAATTTCATTGAAGTTATTCTTGTGATACCAGGGTATTCTTCGAGGATCTTGTGATACGGTTGTTGCACATCTATGCTTCTTATTGTGGGCAGATTGGTTGCTTGTACAAAAGACTGAGATGCAAGATTGGTTTTCCCGTCGATGATTCTTCTATTTTTGATGTCGACGACCAACTGGTGATGTTGAAGAAAATCAGCACCGATGATTGGTTTGCTGACTTTAGCGACGATAAATCTCCATTTGAATGGTCGGCGTAGATTAAAATCAAGTTCCATTGTTTTTTCTCCATATGTAGGAATAACCGTATTGTTTGCTGCATAGAGTTGAAAATCTAGTGGCTTCAACTTCTGTCCTTGCTTCGGCGGTAACACTGAGATATTTGCTCCGGTGTCGATAAGGAAAGTAAGCTTGCTTTTTTTATCGGTGACGAAAAGACGGTAGGACTTTGCTGTTACGCTGGATCCCGTCGCATCGAGCGTACTAGTTAGTTTTCCGTATTCGTATTTTCATTTTTGAATGTACACGGTGCTGTGCATTTTCTTGCCTCGACCCCGAAACGTCGATGATAGTAGCAGTAAGGGGATCTTGATGTTGAGCTTATTCGACTTCTACTTGCAGAGC